TCACTGATGCCGATGACCATCTGGGTAACAGTTCCTGGACCCGGGGGGTATCCCAGCTTCATTGGCTTCCGTGCAACCCAGTACACGTACCAGCCCGCACCTATCAACCCAGACCCGGAGAGCACGCGACAGCTCCAGCAGTTCATAAGTGCGGGCGGCTGCTCTGGGGAGATCGGAGCTCTGGGTGCATCGAGGGGCGCACGGCTAGCGGCAGAGGCGGCCTGAGGAGCCGAGGCGATCTTATCAGTCTCGAAAGGCTGGGACAGGGAAGTACCCATGTTCAGAAACTTGACCTCAGTGCTAGGAGCCTTAGGGAAATAAACGGAAGTAAAATGTGTAGCCGGAAAGCAAGGCGCTGGGCTTCGGCTGCACCCTGAGGCCGCTGGGAAATGTAGTTCCGCTTGCGTGGGCTGGAGCAGGATGGAGGGAGGCGGGGCTGATGGTCAGCTCTTGGGACGTGCCAGATGCTGTTCTCCCCACCCCCCACGCCCAAAAAACCCTTTTAAGAATACTGATACAGCGCACTCCCAAAATGTCTCAATTCTCAGTCTCCTTAGAGAAGTCTGGGTTCCTCATTTTGCTGCTTAACACGAAAGGGGAGTGAGACCTTGGGCTTTTCGCCTGTGTGGAGTCCTGTGACAATTGAGATTTATATGTGCTTACCTTTATGCTAGACACTTTGCTAAGCGATTATCTATATTATGACATTAATCTTTGCAATGCAAAGTGGCATCAGTTTCCCAATATGTGTCAGAATGGGTTAAGTGAAACCAAAACTGGTTAATCATTTTCCAAACCAATGTCCATGAAAACAGTAAAATTTCTTAAATGCTACCGGTACATATTGTGAAGGGGCTACACAAATATAATCAAGGTATTAAAAATGGGTTTGCCCTAACCGGTTTGGCTCAGTGAATAGAGCGTGGGCCTTCGGACTTAAGGGTCCCAGGTTCGATTCCCCGTCAAGGGCATGTACCTTGGTTATGAGCACATCCCCAATAAGGGGTGTGCAGGAGGCAGCTGATCTATGTTTCTCTCTCATTGATGTTTCTAACTCTCGATCCCTCTCCCTTCCTTTCTGTAAAAAAATCAATAAAATATATATTTTTTAAAATGATGAATTACCTGGATAAGTACTTTAAATTTCTCTTTAGTCTTTTTTCTTAACGTCATGATCTCCATTTTTTTTTTCAGTTTCTGGTTTGAGATCACTGGAGAAAATTCAATTCGAAATCAGGCTAACCTTTTTGAGAAGTTAATAAAGGAACTGTTCTCAGAGGCTTTCCTTATTACCGTCCCATAAGCATGGACTTTTGATTCTGATTGCTTCTTTGCAATTCAACTTCTATGTCATCCACTCCTATCTTATTCACCTTTCATTTCATTTTGGTAGAATCAGGTATATATTTCTTAGGCTGGGTTGTTTAGAGAGGGCTGGTAAGAAAGAAAGGCATTTAGAGTTCAGAGGTTGTTTCAGTTAGAGGAGATAGATGAAAATAGGATTAATTTAAAGTTTGAACCTTTCTCCTTTAAAGTGGCTTAAAAAATTAACATGATAAAAAATAAATTCACTATTCCACTTTCTAAAATATGTGGTTTTAAGAAGGCTAAAAAAAATAGACAAAAATAAAGATAGGAATAATAGGAGACAATAAAGTATTAGAAGAAAATAATTTAGTGAGAAATCTGGGTTGGCCTGATGCTTAATTTTAAAGTTCCTTCCCATTTCGTTGCACACACATTGTAACAATGTGTTGTATAGTAGAAAGACAAAGGTTTGGTAAATTTGGGTTCTTTACCTGGCTCTATCACTATGAGCCAGCCGTATGGCATAGAGAACATACTTTATTCTCTCTGGCTGTAGTTACCTCATGTTTGAAATAAGGAGATTTGGAATAAATGATATATCTAACATTCTTTCCTAACTTGGAAATTCTCTTATGTATTAAGAATCTCACTTCAGATAGTATTGTGCTAAGTGTCATACCAAATAAATTCAATAGTGTTTCACTTAGAGATTCATAATTTATGGCTGCTTCTTGCTATGCCTGTTAAGACATTCTACAGTGGATGTGATTTCTCCTTATGTGAAATCATATCATCATTTTGCAGTGTTACCAAGCATTTTTATTATACACTTCTATGAATAAAAATGATTGAGCACACAATAGAATTTCTGTAGGCCTATTTATTATAAATTACATATTATATACTACTTTATTATTTAGACTGAGATAAAATAATAGAAATTGAAATTCCAACATTTTATTATATCCCACTATCTGGAATTGTGCATTTCCATGGATGCCAAAGTTATTTGACATGTGACTTTACTAATTTATATTTCATGTAAGAGACTATCTTTTTTAGTGTGCTTATCACAATTAAGAATGCCTGGAAAGGACATATTTAATTCTCCAAACAAATATTATTATTATTTTAATTTTAAAATCTTAATTGTTGAAAATATTATATTTGTCCTCTTTTTCCCCCATTGGCCCCTTCTAGCCCCCCCCCCAGGCCTTCACTATCCTATTGTCTTTGTCCATGAGTTATGCATATATCCATATAAGTTCTTCCAAACAAATATTATTAAAATAGCCCATAATGTATTTCCCAAGTAACAGGCAAGATTTTATTTTAACCACTGTTTTTTTTAAGTAATTCCAAAAGATGTGCTTGTTCTCTTATGATTGCTTCCAATTAATGATTTTAATTTTTGTTTTGTTATTGTGATAGCCCTCCAAAACTCAACAGTGGTTTCTATGGAACCCATATTTTAGAACTACACATAGTACATATTGAAATAGAGGTGTGTTGTTTGGAAAATTATTAGAAAATTTATGATATCTCTGGAAATAAATAAAATCATAGGGTTTGAGACCAGTGAAAACAAGCAAAACTATAATTGGAGGAAGAAGTGTGTATTATGCTGAAGTAAAAAGGAGCCAAGGTTGAAAGCTAACTTTACGTCATTATCTCTATTGTATTTATTTATTTGGCTATTTATTATCTCTATAGTTCATTTTGGCAGTTATGACTCACCAGACCTTATGACCTCTCCAATTAATTTTTAAATTTTAAAAATACAAAAGGCATAAATAGGTATATACTAAAAATTGTCCCTCAAACTCCTCTCTCCCTCCCCTTCCCTAATACAGTTAGTCTTATCAGTGTCTTATGTGTATTTTTAGAGATGTCTGGGTATATATGTGTATTCCTCCCTCCAATAATTTTGGAGGTCATTCCATATGAGTCATATTAACTAGCCTCATATTGATAAATATTAATGGACATTTAGGCAGTTTCCACTCTTTTACTATTACAAATAGTGCCACAGTAAATAGCCTGGGCATAACATCATATAATAAGCATATGATTATTTCTTAGAATATATTTCTCAAAGGGTAGGGTATTTTTACCTTGATGTACATTACCAATTGCTTTTCACAGAAGTCATACTAATTTATACTCTCACCAACAATTATGAGACCTGCTTTCTCACCCTATTTCTACATAGAATCAATTATTGAATCTCGGCCAATCTTAAGGAAGGTGAAAATTGTTTAATTTTTTTCTTATTATGAGTGAGCTTCTTAATGTATGTTTAAGAGCAATTCATTTTTCCTTTTCTGTGAACTTCCAATATTTTTTGCCTATTTTTTGTTAGATTGTCTTTTTCCATTGACTTCTAAAAACTCTTTATACATTAGTGAGATTAAACTTATGCCTGTGATATAAGTTCATGTTTTTTTTCTCCCAATTTGATATTTGCTTGTTGATTTTGATTGTACTTTTTACCATGCACACTTTAAAAACATGTAATTATATTTGTCAATGTTTTCTTTTATAGCTTAAGGTCTTCTACTTCCTATGGTTTCCTCTGGTATTTGGATCTTTTTGTCCCCAAACTTCAAAGTGTAATACATTAGCAATTTATCTTATTATTAGGTGTCATGAAATGAGCCAGATCTTCTTTTCCTTTACTTCTCTCTGACTCATTTTCAGTTCTCTCAATACTATTTAGTAAATAATCCACCATTTCCCCACATATTTGCAATGCCACTTTTTCTAAAATGCCATATATAGATGTATGTCTATTACTGGGTTTCATATTCTGTTCCATAAATTGTCTGTTTATTCATGTGATGTTATGATGTTATTACACTATTTTAATTACTGAAGTTCTGTAATGTGTTAATACTTGAACCCTGCCTTCCCCCTTATTATTCTTCTGTTACAGACCTTTCTTGGCTATTTTTACGTGTTTATTTTTCCACATGAACTTTTGACTCAGCTTGATTATTCTGACAAAATGATGCTGACATTTTTATTAGACCTGGGTGAATACTGTGGTTAGAGAATTGACATCTTTATGATGTTGAGTCATCCTATCTGAGGACATGGGATGCTTTGTCTTTTGTTCATATTTTAGTTTGTATCATTTTAAAGTATTTTTAAATAATGACCTCATATATTTTCTCTCAGACATTTTATCTTTTGTGTTGTTATTGAAAATAAGGAATTTTTACTTTTGTGTATCTTCTGACTGCTTGTGTTTGAATGCAAAAGGTCTCTTTCCACACATATCCTAATATTGAATTATCAGTGCCTGATGGTGAACCTTTGATATATGGTTGATAGTTTTCTTTTTGGCAATCCTAATGATTTAGAGGATAACTTTTAGGCCTATTTCATAAAAAGAAGTTGGAAACATTACTTTTTCTCCCTGCCCTCTACAAATATTATTGGAATTATCTGCTCTTTACAACTTCTACAACTCAAAGTTTTCTCTTCCTACGCTACTACAATGATAGTGTGCTTCCTGTATACATGGCTTCTTGGTGGGTTTTCTTATTTAACTCTACCTTCTTTTGTTCACGGAACAAAACTAAATCAATGGAACCTAGAGGTTTGGGTTTTGCAACTCAAGGTGCGGCCTTCAACTTTAAGAATTTTACATTGCTGACTCATTTGGATATCAGCAGCTACAATCCCCTTGCTCTGCTATCTCCTCTAATAAACACTTATATGATCACCACTGTCATAGTGACTATGGACGTGCATACGAGATGGAGCTTCATCAGACTTGTTCCCCCCTGGTCATTATAATAAACAGAATACTCTTCTTTCCCTGTTTTGGATAGGTTGGGTGAGGGAGAAATAAAGGATTTGAAGTACTTATTTATTGTAGCATAATCTAGCCTATTTTGATTGATACAGTTGGTTCACTACTGAGAGTGCTACTCTAGAGAGCATTTAGAAATACAAGGAGATATTTTGTTTGCCACTGAGAGTGTTCAGAGGCCAGGGATCTGGGATCCTCAATCTCTGATAATGCTTACAGCAGTC